ATTTAGTATTGTTATTTATAATTAACAAATTTACTAAAATTACTTACATATTACATAGGTATTATATATTTATAAATAAATATATTGTAAGGAAATAGCACACATTCTAAATTCCATTAAGTTCCTTTATATTTAAATTAATTACTCAGCATATTTAATAATGATGTCCCGAAGAGCCTGTGATCTTGATGCTAAACTTAAGGTGGCACTCGTTGAATTAAAGAAAACCCAAGACTTGAATAAAGTGTTGTTACAGGAACGGGATGATAGTGAAATAGAGATGAAATCTCTATTTGACAAATATGTGGCCCTGAAGGGGGAACTTGTAGACATTTATGTGTTCTGTGAGGACCTACGTGTTGACAGGGATAGACTTCAGGAACTTGTTAATGAATATGATCACTGCAGGGACACATATGAGTCAAATTTACAGCGTATCACTCACCTCGAGAGACACCTTGAGGAAGCACAAGCACATAGTGAATCTATGTTGGAACACAAACGGGTGAGTAGCTACAATAACACCTTAGATCTGTATACAGAATTGTTAAATGTCACTTGTGATCAAAAGTCTACTCAGCCGTTGGTGACCATAGATTTAACTAATACACCCAGCTCAAACAGTTGAATTAGTCAATTGAATAGTGTCAATAAATTAAAAAAATATATAAAAATAAACAAATTTATTAAAAAGTCAGAAAAGTTAGTGAGAACTCATACTAAATGTTTAAAATCTATAAATATTAGAAGACAAAAGTTAGACCTGTTACAAGAACTTCAAAATTGTAAAACAAATTTACATGATAAGGATTTAGAACAAAATAAATTAAAGAGTAAAATTCAAGAGTTAGAATCTTCATTATCTAATTTAACAAAAAAATATGAGTGTGCTCAACTTGAAATTAATAATTATAGTAAATCGCTGGATAAATTAATTGAGTTGGGAAATTACAACATGGAGCGGTTCACCTCATTGACAGAGAAATGTTGTTGTGAGACACCTGAATCTCCTAAATCTTGTCAGTATAGCCCTAATGGAAATAACAATAAGTCAATCACATCGGTTTTGACTGAGTCAATCACTCCTTCTTCTAGTTTACTCAATTCTAACTTGTCTTTAAAAACTGATAATTGTAATGTTGCACCAGTACGAAGGACAATTATTTATTCAGATGAATATGGTAAGGGTCTGGGCCGTTCATTATCAGAAAGTCTATATCAACATGTCATAAATAATTGTCTTCCTGGTGCTTCATTGCCTAATATTTTAAATAAGGTGGTTAATGGTAGGTATGATAAATTAACCACATTAGTCATTGCTTTAGGCAACTGTTTATATGTAAAAAAAAGTCATGTAATTAAACTTGTAAACTCTTTGCTTAATATTGCTGAGCTGGGCATAGGTAAAATAATATTATGTGCATTTCCTTACTGTCGTTCTCTGACCATTGAACAAAATAAGTTCATATATTATATTAATAATTTAATTTATAATATGACATGTCGTCATAATGACTTTTTATTTTTTGATAGTAACAAATTTGTTACAAACTTTTGTATGACTGGAGATAGATTTTATCTGCCTAAAAAACAAATAACAAATATAGCTAGTTTACTAGCTTATAATATAAATGACCCCATTATAAGTAATATAATGGGTTGCATTAATCCAATTAGTAGTACTTGTACTAATGTTAATACTAAACATACTGAAAATATTGACATAAATATTGATTCTAGTAAGAATCCTTTTATTTACAAAAATTTAAATATGACTGCAGATTTAAACTGCTGAAAAAGACAAAGGGAAAGCTATCAGAATTGAAAATTGTTCACCAGAACATACAAAGTTTTCTCGGCTGTGAATTAATTATTCAATTGTTCTTAGAAAGAAATAATATAGATGTTCTATGTTTAACTGAACATTGGCTCAAAGTGAGCAATATGATGTTCAGCTTAAACAATTATAATATTGTCAGCTGCTTTAATAGAAAAATAGTAAATAGAGGAGGTTCTATGATATTGGTGAAAAATAATATAAAAGTAAAAGAACGTAGTGATATTGGCAATCTTTCTGTTGAATGTTGTATTGAAATTTCCTGTGTGGAACTAGACAATTATATAGTTATATGTGTATATAGACCTCCAAATAGTGATTATAATTTATTTGAAGAGGTAATGGAGGATATTTTAAAAAGAGTATTTAATATTAACAAAAAAATTATAGTGTGTGGTGATTTCAATGTTGACATTTTATCACATAATACCACAAAAACTAAATTAATGAGTTTATTTCAATCCTTTGACTTGAGTAATGTCTTCCACGAACCCACTCGTATCACTGCCACGTCTGCTACTTGCTTGGATAACATATTTAGCAACAGTGAGTATTTAGATAAAATAATAATAAACAACCTTCCTTCTGATCACTGTGGTCAAATAGTTATTTTTCCAAATCACTTAAACAAAATTGGGAAAATTAATTTATTAAAAAGAGACTTGACTAGTTATAAGATAAATAAATTTAAAATATCAGTTCGTAGTAAATTAGATTTTTATCTTCCATCTAATGAACCTAACAAACTTTATACAGATTTCTTCAATATTGTTTCTAACGAATATAATAAGGCTTTTAACAAAAAAACTATCAGTATTATTAACAAAACAAAATTTTCAGAATGGGCTACAAAGGGAATTCTTAAAAGTAGAAATATATTATTTGATTTATATGCTCAAAAAAAATACCGTTTCGATAGTACATTCGTAAATTATGTAAAAAGATACTCAAAAACTTTTAAAAAGGTATGTAATGTAGCAAAGTCTAATTATCTAAATAAAAAAATTAAAGAGTCCAAGGATAAGATAAGGACAGTATGGAGTATTATTAACAAAGAAACTGGCAAAGTTAAAAGTCCATATAACGATTTTACGTTAAATTATAATGATAAACTAGTAACGTCCACAAAAGAAATTGTCAATATTTTTGAAAATTTTTTCGCTAATATTCCAACTGATATTGCTTCCTCTTTGGACTCTTCTCCTAGTACAGCTAAATCATTCCTTATTGACAATGTTGTTTCTTGTCCGGTTACATTTAAATTTACATTTATTGACATTGCTACAATTACTAAAACATTTAAACAATTAAATTTAAAAAATACTGAAGACCATTGGGGCATGTCTGTTAAAGTTATTAACACCGCTATAGATGTTATTGCTCCATATTTAGTAATTATTTTCAATAAATGTATTTCTGATGGTGTTTTTCCCAATTTAATGAAACATAGCAAAATAACTCCACTCTTTAAGTCAGGAGAAAAAACTGTGGTAGGTAATTATAGGTCTATATCTATCTTACCAGTATTGAGTAAGGTGTTTGAAAAAATTATGCTCAATCAAATGCTGCAACACTTTAAAGTAAATAAACTGCTTCACAGTCGACAATTTGGTTTCACGGCCGGTAAATCAACTACTGATGCCGGTGTAGCTCTCATTAAATATGTATTTGATTCTTGGGAGAGGTCTCAGGATGCAGTCGGTGTATTTTGTGATCTTTCAAAAGCATTTGATTGCGTTGAACATGAAACACTTTTGCTCAAACTTGAACATTACGGTATTAGATATGAAGCACAAAGCATGATGAAATCCTATCTAAATAATAGAATGCAAGTTGTCGAAATAAATGGTGTAAAGTCTGAGGGAACTAGTATTAAAATGGGTGTTCCTCAGGGCTCTATTTTAGGTCCTTTCTTATTTTTAGTTTACATAAATGATCTTCCTTATATGGTAGAAAAGATAGCTGACATAGTTCTGTTTGCTGATGATACTTCATTAGTATTCAAAGTCAATCGACATATTGATGATTTGGACGAAGTAAACGGTGCTCTTTCTTATGTTTTAAAATGGTTTACGGCTAATAATATGTTACTAAATGCAAATAAAACTAAATGTATCAAATTTACTCTCCCCAATGTAAGGCCGGTAGATTCAAAAATCACGTTGGACAATAAACCTATTAATTTTGTGGATGATACTGTATTTCTAGGTATCACATTAGATTCCAAGTTGCAATGGGGTGCTCATATTACTAAATTAGCAAGTCGACTTAGTTCTGCCGCTTATGCGGTAAGAAGAATTAGACAATTAACAGACGTGGCAACGGCTAAACTTGTGTACTTTAGCTATTTCCATAGCATTATGTCGTATGGTATTTTGTTATGGGGCAAAGCAGCTGATATAAATACAATATTTATTTTACAAAAGAGGGCCATTCGCTCCATTTATAGCATGGGTTCCAGGGAGTCTTTGCGAGAGTGCTTTAAGGAATCAAATATCCTCACTGTTGCTTCTCAATATATTTATGAAAATATCATGTATGCCAGGAAGAATACAGACAGTTTCAAAAGAGTTAGTGATTGCACTAATAAAAGCTTACGTAACAATAACAAACTGATTTTACCTAAATGTCGTTTGGCTAATGTTAGTAATTCGTTTTATGGCAATTGCGTAAGGTTTTACAATAAAATACCAGAGTCTGTTATAAATCTGCCAGAAAAAAGATTTAAATGTCAAATAAAACACTTCCTTTGCAAAAAAGCTTACTATAAAATTGAAGAATTCGTTAACGATAATAATGTTTTTGTAGAAAAATTTTTAAATACATAGCATTGACAATGTTATCTGATTACACTAATAATGAGTGCGTAGCGATTTCTATGTTGATTGTCGCATGCCTCTTACTTGTTACACTGTAATTATTTATATAAAAAAAAACATCTATTAAAAAGAGCAACACACAAGTTTCTTGCTCATTCTTCTTGTGATGAATCTGCATTCCGAATGAGTGGTAGAATCAAAATATGACTATTCAAAAGTGCTTGTAATGAGTTTATTTGAATAAAGATTATTTCTATTTCTATTTCTATTTCTAAACTTAATATAAACACTTTTGATTAGTCAAATTTTTTGATTCTACCGCTCATTCGGAATGCAGACTCATCACAAGAAGAATGAGCAAGAAACTTGTGTGTTGCTCTTTTAAATAAATATTGATTTACTTATATTTAATTAACAACAAGAATTAGGCATGCGACAATCAACATAGAAACCGCTACCCACTTAATCTCTGTTCAATCAGATAACATTGTCAGCGCTATAAATTTTAAGTTAAATATTTTCTACAAAAACATTATTATCATTTATAAATTCTTCAATTTTATAATAAGCTTTTTTACAAAGAAAATATTTTATAACACATTTGAATTTATATTATTATTTTTATATGTTAATTGTATTGATAAGAAACTAACGGTGCACCTAATAGTGAATGGTAAACGTGTCGCCACGTAATCACGTCGTTATGTGAGGATGATGTTTCTAAGAACCAGGGCAGACTAGAGAACTAGTTTAGAGGCACCGCATTGGCCAGAGGTCCTGGATGTGTTCTTAAGAAATAAAATATGATTGACTGAAAAATTTCTTGGAAAATATGTACTCTCATTGATAATAGGTGTTGGATTATTGTTTTTTAAGGCGTGCTTTCGGTGTTCTAGTATTGGGTAGTAGAACTTTGGTAAAATTAAAAGTTTCACATCCTTACAACAAATTGAAAAGAGCAGATGACTTTAAACGGCTGAAATACCCTGTTTAAAAAATTTGGTATATATTGATAGGATATAGTTCTATAATAAACAGTATTTTCTAGCAATGGGGCCGTAGTCCCCGTGACTCACAATTCCCTTTCCCCTATTTGTAATTATGTTCTTTTATAGAAAAATGAATAATAGCCGCGAAGATAATCGTAGTGAGAGAAGAGAAGATAATGACAATGGGTTCGGGTGGTGGACAGGCCTTGGAGCGGCAACAGCAGCTATAGCCGGAGCAACTTATTTATTCAGTCGAAGTAATAATTCTGAGTCCAGCGCCGGAATTAGCCACCATCGTACTCAAGAAAATAGCCAGGAACGGCGGACATCATATTTACACGATCTTCTAGAACGAGTAGATATAAATGAAGAGTGAGTTGATTAGACTTATTAATATTAATAGCATAAATGTGAAACTGTCTGTCAGTTTCGGTTTCCCGACTACACAAAAACATGAATGGATAGATAGAGATAGATAGCCCATTGACGTACGTAGATTATGTTTAAGTGTATATGTATTCTATATTAAAAAAAAAAGAATAGTTTTCGTTTTCTTGCAGTGGCAGACCAACTTTTTAGCATTACATGGATTCACCGTTCCGAGTAGTTCCCGGGACTTGTGACACGGATGTAGGTTTAAGGGCCCTTGCCGTGTGTTTTCTCCCTGTCTAACCATATCTGTTGTGAGCCTGCTAGTGCAGGTTTAGATACACGTTCTAGTATAAAACTTACTGCAGTTCTAGACAGGCCAAGATTTCTTAGAAGATTGTACAGAAGGTTCGATGGTATAACTGTCGCTCCCATTTCGACTTCATAAACTAACGACGTAGTCATTTTAAGTCAATACCTTTGGTAGTTGATAGATTTTGATAGATTGCAAAATAGCGTCAAAAATTTTGTTTGAAAGACTCATCACTTAACCGCGTTTTAGTACCCTCATATAAGAAGAACCTTAAATTTCTCCGATCACACTTCAAAGTTTGCAAGATGAATTTAAACAGTAAAATTACAGGGCATAATTGTTCTCTAGTTGTTAGTCAGTGAACTTATATGACTTTTCGCTTTAAATCAGAGTAGTAAGCCTTAGCTACGATGCTTTACATCTCTGGTATAAGTGAATTTACCTATCTGTATGTTACAGGAACGCCGTACCGGCAACACTAATGACGAGAAGAAATGTATCAGGTGACATTCCAGATAATCCAGTAATTAATAACTTGGACTCATTATTATCAGATTTGTATGTGAGATTCATAGCGCTGAGAGACGACGACTTTCAATTGCACTACAGAGTATTTAATTGTATATTTTCTACTATTCATAAAAATATGAAGGAAGTTGATTCATATTTTAACCGCTACTCTAGTACAGTAAGTAAAATATGGTAAAGGAAAATATTATTATTTTTTCTTGCAGCTCCTCCATACCGAAATTCCGATTAAAGTAAAGCGATTTAAAGATTATACGATTTGTAGATAGGCCAAGTATTATTATATTGATAATGAATATATATTTTTACATAGTCTAAAACAAAGTCTTATTTAACTGCAATAATCGCCTGTATATATTAACAGAGCCACGGATATGAAGGGACCGCCGTACTAGGTGCTAGCTTATGCTTGCCCAGTAATTCACTGCCTTCAAGCGTAACACATCTTATAAAGGAATTTGCTTTAGCGGTTGCATTAGGTGCGACTGAAGTACCTACGCAGGCTACTTGTTACAAAGTATACCTTGGTATATCATTTGAATACTGTACAACATAAATATCTGTAAAATATTCAAATATTTAGCAAATCTTCTCGTGTCACAGTGTTTGTAACAAAACAAAATGGCTTGTTCCATTCTTATGAAATACTACTAGCTGTTCCCGCGACATCGTCCGCGTGGAATTTAACTTTAATTTTCTAGAAAAAATGTAGCCTAAGTTACTCCTTGTTACGTCAGCTACCTGTCAAAAAAAGTCCCGTCAAAATCGGTCCAGCCATTTCAGAGATTAGCCGAAACAAACAGACCGACGGACAGACAGACAAAAATTGTAAAAAATGTTATTTTGGTGTATGTATCGTATTTATATTCATATGCATGTAATAAAAAACGGTTATTTCAATATTACAAACAGACACTCCAATTTTATTTATATATATAGATTGTGTGTGTATTCTTAGAATATTAACTATTTGTCATACCCCTAAATGATAAGGGTGGTCCACCTGGAAAAAATTATGCTTTATTTTTTTGATGCTATTTTTTATTTATTTATATTTATGAATCGGCATTAAAAATACATTCAGCCCTAAATTTTAACCCTCTTATTTTTATTTCCTATTTGTTAATAGTGATATTAGTACTCTATTTACTGGACTTCTCTCGGCAATCGATATGTGACTAATTCATTTCATAATTTAATCAGTACTAGCTGTGCCTGCGACATCGTCCACGTGAAATAGTGACCTTCACCATAGAAATAAAAAATGTGTAATAATCTAAGCCAAAAAACCCAAAAAAAAATTCTTTATCCTAGCTTAAAAAATAACGAATTTTCGTACAAACTCTTAATCCCAATTTTAATTTATAATCTTTACAATTTTTTTTACAAACGTTCAATATCATATTTGTTTATATTCAACAGTCTAAAATAAGTTTCAAGCTGCTAACTTTAAAAATGACGACACTTCCCATCTCCCCTTTAATCCTTTATAACTACAACCCTTTTAGTAGCCTATGTTCTTTCTGAATTTTATACACAGATACTCTAGACTCTGGTCTAGAGTGTCTGGTCTGGTCTGTGTATAAAATTTAATTTAAATCAGTTCAGTAGTTTTTGCGTGAAAGCGCTACAGACAGACACTAAGACAGACAGAGTTGCTTGCGTATTTATAATATTAGCACAGATAACATAATAATTAGTAAGGAATAATGATTATTCGACATATTGGTAATTTTCAAAATAAACTTCGAAACATATCCCTCAAAGAATAAAGGTTCAAACAATAAAAGAATAAAAGATCTATAAACTATAATAATGTTATTATAGTTTATAGATCTTTTATTCTTTTCTTTTATAACTATTATAATATTTCACATAGGCACAGGCGGCGGGTAGTCACTATGACAGATTGCGTATCAAGAAACCTGATGAATTCGATATGGATATCGTCATTGATCTCCCGCTTAATATGAAAGAAGATCGCCTTAGCCCTGGAAATAGTGATGTTGTACTGGAACCTTCAAGTCATGGTTATATTCAACTAAAAATGGGCACTCAATACCAGATGTTGCCTTACAGAGACGACTGGCAAATCCATAAAACGCTATATAAATGGAAGGATGTAGACAATTACTTGCTTAGAGACAAGTTTAGTGACTGGTTCAAAGGTATTACGGATAAGGCTTTAAATAAATTTGAAAAAAATAATAATTATACAATTATGGTAGTGGATAGGATTACATATATAATCACTACCTCTAAGTCAGGACCTGCTATAACTTTGAAAATAAGTGACCCTGTCACTGATTTCAAAATGTCCATTGATATAGTACCTGCATTACGATTTCCTGAGGAGCGTTGGCCAGTTCATAGTGATTACCGTGACATACCACCGGGGTGTTCGGTTGGGGACTATGGATGGATGGTCGTGCCCAAGCCGGCCAGCAGTGGCGAAAGCTCCCGCTCTTGGCGTTTAGCCCTTCACAACCAGGAGAGGAAACTCTTTTATAACACTTACAATTTGCGGCAGACTGTGCGTTATGTAAGTTTTTTTAAGTAGCTATAATGTAGAACAAGTTGACGGATCACTTGATTGTAAGTGGCAATCATTGGTTACAGTTACTTAAACAGCACCATGTCGTCATAGAGAGATCCGTGGTACTCCTTATGCGACATAATTTCGGAGTATCACTACTGGTCACCCTACGATACTCAGTAATTTTACTGCCATGTCTTACTCTTTAAGCAGAAACACAGCTTACACAGCAAGCTGCTTGACAACTGAATTAAGTGAGATTGCGATACCCGCTGACGACTTTGTACGCCGCCTACCTTCGTAATTGTTGTGTCATATAGCCCTATTGTTTATTGTACTTGGGCGATTCGGGTTACGTTATTTATTTTCCTTTGACAAAAATGCAAAAAAGCATATGCATCTGTATTTTCGTAATTATGTACAAGCCGTATTTGAAAGTAATAAGAACTTAGTTGCTTGTCAGTTAAGCAGTCTAGCTTAATTAATGACAACAAAGAAATTAATGACTTTGCATAAGAGTCTGTTGTAGTTTTGTTAAAAGGTGAGATGCGGCAGAAAAATTACAGGTTACGGAGATCTTAGTCCTTAGAAATATTATCGTTTGCATTAAAAAATATAATAAATAGAAGTAGAATTCTACATAGGGACATTCAATTAAGTACACTTCAATTTTAAAAATCTCAATTGTTTGTTGACAGTTAAAAAAATTACGGGATGCTCAAGAAATGAATGAAATAGCGAGTTATTATGTGAAGACATTATTCTTCTGGGAGGTTATACAGCAGCAATCAGAGGAAAGATTTTGGAATCAGCCTTTATCTAAACTATTCATAATAATGGTGAAGAAGTTCCAGCAAGCATTGGCAAACAGAAATATTCCCTATTTCTGGAACAAGAACCATAATCTTATCGACGGCGTTGCACCTAACGTGGTGGCAGGTTACGCTAACAAGCTGAAGAAACTTGTCGTCATACTGGACGATCCCACTAGGTACAAAGAGGTCGCCATATATCTATTGACTATTGACGAATATAACTCCTACAAGTCTATATTGTTTAAATAGACCAATTAGTATACATTTATTCCTAATATTTTAAGTAATTTTTCTATTATTTTAATTATACTCGCAATAAATATCGACGAATTTTTATACGAACTTTCATTCCCTATTTTATTTTATTCACCTAAAGGTACGGAAAAAATATATAAACAATTTAACGTTTATAAGCAGCTAAATTGTCATGAATGATGTTTGATTTGATTTGATTTGATACGGATATTTTTTTTTATAAAGTGAATGTCATATTGTTATATTTTTAATCAACAGACTAAAAAATAAGTTTCAAGCTTCTAGCTTTAAAAATTACGATACTTCCATACAACCTTTAATCTTCCCTTTCAACCCCTTAAGTATTTTTCGCATTAAAAAATAGCCTATATCAGCCTATACCTATATAGCTCAGGGCCTAGACCACATTTCATTTAAATCGGTTCCGTGGTTTTGGCGTGAAAGTGCGTCAGACAGTAAGTCTGTCTCTTTCAAATTTATGATATTAGTAAGCATAAGGATTGTCTTACTAGTTCGCAGCTGCATTTTTTCTTGTGGTTTATAACGAAATGATGGACCCACGCACCTGCATCTGTTTATGCTGGTGGAATACCAGTGGAGGATAATAAGATGAACATGAGGTCAGGTTAGTTAGGTCATCGTTTTAAATTCGTCACGAATTTATTACGATGGTTTCCAGGAGAACAACGTGGAGGTAACCTGAGATGGTTCTCCACATGGGGGTTGCCCACATTACTAATAATCCCCTTCCCCTCGCAGCCTCATTGTAATAATATATGTTCCCATCTAAATCTAATTGTTTTCATGATTTAGACCAACACAGTCCATCGATCCGTTACAGTAAGTTTATGGGTCTAATTTTAAGTGATTAGATAACATTTGTGCAGAATATAAAAGTCAATTCAAAGTTATTTATTTATTTACAATGTTTAAATATATTGGTTTAAGATTATACGCTATATCTGTAATCCAACAGAAGATATACGAGTAAAAAATACTGGGACTGTAAATTCACATGCCACATTTCGCTAAATCTGTTTGTCATCCGAAGCTCACCACGGAGGTATTTTTTTTTGTACGTGATAATGAAATGATACACCCGCCTGCGGTTACCACGGTTTACGCTGGCGGGGCACCAGTGGAAGGTGATAATTTGAGCATGAGGTCAGGGCAGTTAGCCCATCGTGACAAATTCACCTGTAATTTATCAGGATGGTTTCCAGGGGGAACCACGTGGAGATCAACCTGACATAGTACATTGATAGCAATGGGATCAAGCAATCCCATTACTAGCAATCCCCTCCCCCCCCCCCCCCCAGAGGTATTAGTGTCCGGAGGTGGCATACAGAGGTTATTCCCTACATGCCTAGATGAAAGGTCCCTTCGAAGGGAACCATACCGGTGGTCTTGGAGAATGCATATGCGATCCCATGGCTACGGCGATATGTTCGAGGAGGAATAGTCGTCAGGTTTTTGGCCAGTACGAATCCGGCAGTCCCCATTTGGTTCCTAAGGCGATGGGCCTCTATGAAGATTTCCTTGAAGTAAAAAAAGGGTTAACGTCGCGCCTTCTCTCGGATACATGTTTGGGTTGTTCGTTGTTACCTTCACTGGAGAGTCAGTCGGAGTTATAAGTTGACTCACAAAGTTATTTATTGTGTCCTCACATTTGAACTCACGACTTTTGCATATAATTTTGGGTAGTATAGATAGGGCGTAAAAATTGTTAATTGTCATGTACATATAGTATATATTTTTAGTATCGGCGCTCATAGCTTCTAACATATAGGTCTCAGCTAGGGACTACTGACTATGTAGTAAATAGATAATGCAAAACTATATGTAATGAAAGCTATATATTAAGGACAAATAAATGAGTACAACTATACTCTGTTTTTTAATAGCTAAGACCAAATTGACAGGTGTAACTGTCAAATTTTTAAACAATGTTACAACCTGTAGCGGCGTAACGTTTTACCTGCAATATCGATTTGTTAATCGTATATTTTTTAATTTTCGCATATTAGTTTCAAAACAGTAAAGCGTTATACGAATTTTCCACAACTTTTATCAAAATTTACGTACGTAGTAGTGTTTTCAATACTTTTCTTCTAATATTTGTAAATACCACTTCCAATATATTTTTTTATATGGTTACTCTGATCTTAGCTTTAAACTAATCAAAGGTAATTACGATGCATGAAATGGTTATACGGAGTCTGGACACAATCGATTAACTCGAAATTACAATTTGTTGTGATCATAGATTGAGAGTTCGAATTAAATAAACAAAACAAATTAATAAGAGCATGGACTATATGTCAGTGGAAATAAAAAAATACAAAATACTAAGTCCAGTATAGCATCACAATAATAATAATTACTAATCTCACGTACTAATAATATAATAAATCATACCATACTTGATAATTGAATTAATAAAATTTATTGATAATATATAATTAAATAATATATTATAGCGAAATGTATGATAATATGTGAGGTGTCGCTACTTATTTGTCCGTTGTAATATCATAGGAGTGAGTGAGTGTATAAGTGAAATATTTGTAATAAAGTCAATAATGTTGACAAATATTTATATAAAGTTTATTTCATATACAAATGGATGAGTGTTGAGTGTTGACTGAGAACACTGTTGACTATTTATAGAATATTAAGATACAAAAGTAAGTAAACACAGCTTTAAAATTAAATAATACCACAGATAAGATAATGTTACATATATTACTAGCTACTACTACTAGCCCGTACATGTATTATATATATAAACTTCTTCCTCTAGAATCACTCTATCTATTAAAAAAAATCTCTACAAAATCTGTTGCGTATTTTTAAACATTTAAGCATACACAGGGACGGACAGACAGCGACAGCGACTTTGTTTTATACTATGTAATAATAATGATAATACTAAACAATGGCGTGAATTTAGCGGTCGAGGCTCGTTGTAAAAATATGGGATACCCGCATCCCTTATAAAACTGTAATAGAGCGATTCCCTAGCGCAGAAGTTACGGCTTAGACAAAATTTTTTTTTAAAAAACTTTTTTTTACCTAACCCGTGGCATTTTGTCGACATGCTACCCTGTACTTATGTCACTCATAGGTACTAAATGTAATTATCAACGTATTTGTTATAAAATAAATAAAGCGTAATAATTAATTAATTGCATATAAATTTATCTTGATCTAATCTATAACACACTTTTACTTAGTGGTAATGTCATGCCGAAAATTAGTGTTGAATCATAGGGCAAAAATTGATATCGAGCTATTGCTTATCTTTTTATGGATGAGTATGGTATGGTGTGCACGGCTGTCATGGTATACGGTGTCGGAACACCAGTGGAAAATAATAAGCTGATCATTTCAGGTCAGTTTGCCACTCGTGGCGAACTCACCAGGAATTAAACACGCTAGTTTCCAGTGGTGACCACGTGGAGGTTAGCTTGACATGATACATTGTTAATAACGGGACCACTATTCCCCACACTGCTGTAGGAAACCCAATTGGTAACACTCATTCGGAACATATACTCATTACACGATGAAAGAAGAAGAGACTTGCCTGTTGCTCTTTTAAATAAATGTTGTTTTCAGTATATAAACATTAATAAGGATGCGACAAACAACACAAATCGCTATCTTAATGATGACTCCAATGAAAGACTTAAATAAATATTTATTGTAATATACATTAAGTACGAAGGGACGCGTATATATTCAATAAGTTTCGAATATAAATAGGTTTTTTTATAACCAAGGCAGTTACTGTGGTTGGCGTATCCAAACAAACAAACTCTTTAGATTAATATTATAGTAAGTATAGATAATAAAACTGAAAGGCTTGTCTGTTTGACTATTAGTCATACGTTAAGAAATAGAAATAACTTTCAAAACTTCCATCTTTTTCATAAGTTTATTATTTATTAACTAGCTATTAATTGCGACTTTATCTGTTTATTTTGAGGCAAAATATAGCCTATATCTGCTTTGTGATACACATGTATATAATTTCGCTAATATCCAATGATAGCGGGCTCGATTCCTAGCACGGTACAAACTTTTGTATTCATTAGTATGATTGTTTGTATCGGTCTGGGTATTTTCTATGTGTAATATGCATATATTTACGAAAAAAATCTATTTTTTGTATCGGTTATCTAGTACCCACAACACAAGCTTTAGCTAGCTTAACTTGGGTCTAAATGGCGCTGTGTGAATTATCCTGAGATTATTATTGTCTGTTTGGTATAGTAAAAATACCAGTATATAGTAAAAATAATAAATTCTACATTTATATACGTATTTTTCTGTCTCGAAAGGGGTCCAATGTGCCGGGGATTCGCTAGTCGAGGATAGCTCATAGAACCTTTATAATTACGAACGTTATAAGTAAAACATTTCGTTTAAAACTGATAAGATTTTTTATCAGTCTTAAACTTTGCTGATATGTAATTAGTATTAAAGTAAAATAAATAAATCAAAATATATACGTTAAAAAAAACTGTGAAACAATTAAAAGGGAAAAAAAACTCGTATGCTTCACTGAAAATCGCAAACCCATCAATTTTATGTCCTTACCGACACCTTACGTATGTATATAATACACCTATATGGTAAATAGAAACCATGAAGTAGATAGAAGTAATTCTAAAAAGAGGCGATAAGTCTAGTATTATTCTTATCATGAGTATTTATTTGTCGTAAAGTGTGATTACACTTCTGTATTTGCTTACTTAGCAAGCGAAGAAAACGTTTTGTGTGTATATCAACGAACGGACTTTCTATACAATTATTTTTTTGAGTTGAGTAATCTTTTATTTGTGTAAAAATAATTAATTCTTCATAACAGTGGTGTACAGTCAACAATTCTATTCACGTAAGAGTTACATTGCTATAAATTAATTTTCTTATCCTATATCATCATTACATAGTATAAAACAAGTCGCTGTCGCTGTCTATCCCTATGAATGTTTAAATCTTTAAAAGTACACAACGGATTTTGAAGCGGTTTTTTTAATAGATAGAGTGATTCAAGAGGAAGGTTTATATATATAGAAGCCGGGGCGAGTAGCTAGGATAAATATTAAATTCAAAATTAAATTAAAAGATCGATTTAATATTTTTTTTATATATATGATACTAAGGGAGTCCAAGTCGCTCATTTTATTTGTGACACAATTGCTGACAATTTTCATTTGAAATATATTAGAATCTAGATTTTGTCATCACGAAAAGGTCGGCCTCAATAATTTAAATTATTTTCAATTTATCTTGATTGAATAACCACATTACTGATTTTATTGCAATTTCTATGAGACCAAACTGAAAGTGAAAAAGTCCAAATCTAGTTATCATTAAAGAATGCAATAACAAACATAAAGAAACAACTGAATTGAGGAAGCTATCCCTATTTTTAAAGTCTGTTACAAATTGGGCAATGTATTTAACCATCGTAATTAATTTCTTTTTACAAAATTATATGAAATCATCTTCTAGGCAAGCGTTATCTATATGAATAAAAAATGAATTACGAAAATCGGGCTGTTCCGGTTTAAATTATGTGTAGTAGATGATTGATATTTGCCACGGCATCATTCCATTTTTTTTCTGTTCACTCTGATGCTGTTGGCCGCAGCCGGCCTTTACAGCTTCACCGGACGATAGGGGGCGAGTGCAGATGGCACTCTAAACCCGCGGAAGGACATATGGAGCGGCTGACGGCCAACTCCCGCCTGACGGATTCGACTTTATTCTGAGGCCACCGCTAGGAGTTTGAACCATGGGTCAGGCCGTCGTAATTTCGATCCCCATTTGAATTGGACTGGTGATCGATCGGAGGAGGGCCCATTCCATATTCATGCTTAAAAATGATTTACTTGTGGTAGAGGAGTGCCATTGTCGGTGTTTATAGGATGACGATGGAACGGTGGGTGCACCGCTCCATCGTTATGCAAAGGACATTCACTACCACCGTCGTTATTATTCTTGGTAGTCAGAACCGTCATTACGGTGGTGTCATAAAGATTGTGTTGTTTAGATGGTTTTGTTCAAATAAACCATTCACCTACGATTTGACAAAAATGCAACAGCATGCAGGCTGGTGGTCGCTACATTCTTCCTAATTTACTAGCGGTCCCGGCAAACTTTGTTTTGCCATATAAATTGCAGTACTAACTATTAAAAAATAGGGGTTGGTGGTAGAAGGGTGAAAACTTAGGGTTGAGTGTATTTTTAAATGCCACATTATAAAACAAAAAAAGTTTTTCTTTAAAAATAAAAAAAAAATGTCAGGGGTGGACAACGCTTATCACTTAGGGGTATGAGGAGTTAAGATAACTAAATAAAAGCAAATTAAAAAAAGAATTACCTATATAATTTATTGTCATCTATGGGTTCCTATAATATAGATGAATATCTTTCCCAAATGGTGATAAAGAGCCTGTACTATTAATAAATGAATTAATTATAATAATGTATCATCATCATCATCATCATCATCGCAGCCCGGAAGACGTCCACTGCTAGACATAGGCCTCCCCCAAAGATCTCCACGACGATCGGTCCTGCACTGTAAGACGTGTGCAGTGTGTACAATGCGAAGTGTACAGTGCGCTGCACTGTAATAATAATGTATATATGAGGATAACTAATCTACAATAATAATATTTAAATTGATAGATGTCTGTTGCATATCACAAATGATTAAATGTGCGGAACAAAAATTGTTGATTTGAAATATACCCAATCTACCACATTTATGCAATAAAATTTCACTTGATTTTGCTAACTAACGTTATGACACGAGATTGTTATATACATACATATGAGATTTTTCTTATTGATTTCCTGATAACTGAAAAATATGTAAGCATTGCGGTCGTATTGATTGCTGCATGCATTCTTATGTAAAGTGTATGTAGTATGATGTAGTCTAGTGTATGTAGTAGTCATGTGCAGACATGAGGCGGCGTGGTTGACCGAGTCACTTGGCTCCCTGAAATATGGTTTAGAAATGGTTTAGTGAATGAACCCTGCTTGTAGGGACTTGTCTGCTCTAATTACCGATTCTGATTTATTTAGTTACTCAACCGTTGTGAATTGTATAATTTGACTTTAAATTCGTGCTGTTTGTTAATTTGTATTCGCGCATATTTTAACTTGAAAATGTAATGGTGAACAGCATTCATTTATAAGAGCAATCTTGCTCGATCTTCTTGTCACGAGTCTGCTTACCGAATAAGTAGTAGAATATAAAAATAAAATTATAAAAATAGCAGAAATACATAAATTTAAGTTTACTGTTCGGAAACTTGTTACAGAAACGGAATGACTTCGGACGAGATGCATTTGTCAAAAACCTGCAATGATTTTGACTTTAATGATAGTGTCCCACTACAACAGCACACAGCCAGAGTCGGTCAGACTTTAACGAGTTCGGTAGAAATAAGTTATTACAATTTATATGATGGGTAAGTAGATAACATTTGCATTTTGAACAGAAAACCTGACGCCGTGTGGGTTATATGACGAAACAGTATAGACTGACTTTAACTAATCGATTAATTTACTGTCTACATTCAGGAATAGCAACTCATTTCCTTCTAGGTATAAATAGAGTGAATTAAATGAATGGCTGCAAAGAAGTGTAACATAAGAGCGATCAGTATCTCGATGTATGTCATAATAAAACCACTATCTTTGTGAACTCCTTTAATTGCAACAATTTACAGATTATATACACAAAATATTATGTTATTATATTTTATTATGTTATATTAACACATCAAGTGTTATGGATATAATGAGTGCAATTTGCATCCTCATCATCTGACATTTACGCGCTTCTACTCGCACTGAGGTTATATATATAATCGGGGAATGGTAAACAAGCTGTTACATATTAAAAAAAAACAAATATAGAACAAAAACATTTACATTAAATAAATGCACATTGCAAATAAACAATGAAAGAACTTTTTAGTCAGATGCAGGTACTCTCGAGAATGCAGGTTGTTATTAATTGTTGTTATTAATTTAGACGAAATCTGTTTTGTTACAGCGACACACTAAGTGATGTTGACAAGAGGGGAGTTCCTTCTTCGAACATACCAGAAAACCCAACAATTAATAACTTGGACACATTAGTAGAGGACATCTATGTCAGACATACAGCTTTTAAAGCCAAAGACTTTGAGTTGTATTACAAAGTCTTTGATAACATAATTTCCAGTATTCATAAAAATATGAAGGCTGTTGACCCATATTTTGAACGCTATTCGAGTACAGTAAGAGTTTTATCTTATGATTTTATTGATGTAAATAATCCGCATACAATTTCTACAAGTGTCTCTTATGTTCAATAATTTTTATTATTCATAAAAGTGTAACAAAAATTTGTATCAGTTATTAAGCGCTTTAAGACGCTTTTATGTAGGGAGTATCAGAAAGTTTGTTTTGTCGTGGGAAGGTAACGAATATGATTTGCATTGTTGAATTTCGATGTGTGAAATCATAAAAATATTTTTAAACAGATCCAGGCGACGGGAAGTCATTCTGATAGAGTACGTATCAATAAACCTGATGAATTTGATATGGATGTAATTATTAAACTCCCATTTAACAAAAACGAGGATCCGTTAGACCCCAGTAATAGTGATATAATACTAGAGCCTTCATGTAATGGATTCGTCCAAATCAAAATGGGAAGACAATGCCAACGTATACTCGAGTTAGATGAGTGCAATAAAACAATTATTAAGTGGACGGATGCGGATCATTATATACTTCAAAACAAATTTAAAGACTGGTTCAAAGGCGTTTTACACAAGGCTTTGAATAAATTTAACAATCATGGCAATTATAAATACGTTACGATTGATGGCATCCAATATATCATACGTACTTCAGAGTCCGGTCCTGCTATAACTCTGAAAATAAGTAACGATAATAAATTCAAACTGGACGTTGATTTAGTACCAGCTTTACAATTTCCCGAGGAGCGTTGGCCAATTAACAGTGATTATCGAGACATACCTGCTGGATGTTCCGTGCAGATTGGGTGGATGGTCGTGCCGAAGCCAAGCAAATGTGGCAACATCTCCCGCTCTTGGCGTTTGGCCCTATGCAACCAGGAGAAGAAATTGATTTACAACACTTGTAACTTGAGGAAGACTCTACAACTAGTAAGGTTTCGGAGTAATTGCTTGATAGATTTAAATGTTTTTACGTTTTACGAAGTTTATTTATCTGTCAAAACTACTGTCTGTTGCTACTGTTACAAAGTACATTAGCGCGTAACGTTAGGTACTTATGTATTTTCATAATAGTACCCATAAGCAGAATTCACCTAGCATCAAATGGTGGCAGAAACAAAAACTGCCCTTGTTTTATTCACTTAAGTTATAAGATAAAATAGTGTGTACACATTATATAAACGATATATTTGCTATGAGAACATTATTTAAGAGCTCCTGAAATTAAGTATATATTTTAAAACAGAGTTTACGTCATTAATAGTGTACGAAACTAATATACGTCTCTTACATAACCAATAACAAAATTGTTCATTTTCAGCTAAAAAAACTGCGGGATGCTCAAAAAATGAATGAGGTAATAATGAGTTATTATATAAAGACATTATTCTTTTGGGAGATTGTGCAACAAAAATCGAATGAAACGTTTTGGGATCAGCCTGTATCTAAACTCTTCATAATAATGGTGAAGAAGTTCCAGCAAGCATTAGCAAATGGGAATATTCCATATTTCTGGAACGAGAACCATAATCTTATAGATAGCGTTGCGCCTAACGTGCTGACGGATTACGCTAACAGGTTGAGTGAACTCCTCATCATACTGGACAATCCCACTGACTACAAAATTGTCGCCAAATATCTATTAACTAATGACGAATATGACAAGTACAAGTCTATATTATTGGACTACCATGAAACAATTTTGTTTAATAAATATGGAGAGTTAATAAATTGAATGAGATTGTGTGTGCAGCTGCACACAGCTATTTATATAACTGATGAATGAATAGTATTCTATTCAGTAATATTATTTCCTTTGTATTTATTTAAAATATAATACTTTGATTACGTTCGCTGTATTTTATTTAAACTACATGAACTCGAAAAAGTTTCATTTATGTAATTGAATAAAGAAAATACTAGGGCACCGCATTGGTAACGCACAGGTGGGATTATATTAATAATAATAATATTTATTTGTTAGTGTTTCTCACTGTGATCTATTTATAATGCATTTAAAATCAATAAAAGTAATAATAAATGATAGACCGTGTTGACAGAAAGAAAAGAAGTTTTTATTTTATTTTTAATTACAATTATATGGCTTTTATACAAAAAAGAGGTTTCATGTGCTAACATATTGCCGAGGGCAAAATAAGAATAATGCAAGAACTTTAGAATTATTAAAATACAACAATATCCTTAATACTAATAACATTTTATTCTCGGTAGGTAGAATTACAATTTTTGATACTGCTCTAACATGTATCTTTTTGTCCTGAGTCATTATTTCTACCGTACGAACTTTTAAATCTGGCCCTGTAAAAACCTTTGTGATTTTACCTAAAGGCCAGTGAAGTGGTGAAGTATTTGGCACAATTAAAAGTACTACCATTCCTTCATATATGTTAGAAGTGATAGATTGCCATTTGTAACGTTTCTGTAAATTTAACAAATAATCTTTAGACCAGGCCTTCCAGAAATGCTGCCGTATTTGCTCACAACAACGCCAAAACTTTAATCGATTGTTAGGAATCGAAACTAAATCAGGTTGTGGAAAACTATTTAATGCACAACCGACAAGAAAATGACCAGGTGTTTTTAACCCATCCCAGATGGATCAGTTGACAACAAAGTTAAAGGCCTAGAATTAAGAATACCTTCAATTTCTGTAAATAGTTGTTCAAATGTAAAAATTCTATTATTGATGATTCTTTTGAAGTGAAATTTTGCTGACTTTACAGATCCTTCCCATAAACCCCCGTGGTTGGGACTGTATTCAGGTATAAAATGAAATTGGATACCTTTAGAAAAGGAATAATTACTTATAGTTTCAATAAAATTATTTTTAGAAAAAGGTTTGTAAAATTCGGAGAGTTTACTTTGTGCTCCTTTAAAGGTTTTTGCATTGTCACAATATATATCAGATGGCAAACCTCTTCTAGCTATAAAGCGTTTTAAAGCTGCTAGAAAAGCGTCAGTAGTCATGTCACTTACGACTTCAAGATGGACTGCCTTTGTAACGAAACAGACAAATACGGCGACATAACCTTTGGATATTTGACTTCGTCTTATAGTTGATTGTCTTACGTCAAAAGGCCCACAATAGTCAATGTCTACCTTTTCAAAAACTCTTGCTGGTGTAACTCTACTTGAAGGTAATGAACCCATTAGTTGTTTGGAGCTTTCAGATTTTAATCTACAGCAGATTACACAATTATGAATTATACTTTTTATTAATTTAACAGCATTCACAATAAAATATTTTTGTTGAATGCTGCTAAAAGTAAGTTTTAAACCACTATGCATTAAAGATAAATGTTCATTTCTTATAACTAAAGTTGTAAAATGACATTTGGGCAAAATAATAGGAAATTTAGTTGAAAATGGAATATTTGCATTTTGCAATCTGCCTCCAACCCTTAAAATATTGTTTGCATCTATGAATGGATGCAGAGATTTCAAATTAGAAGTAATTTGTTTGTTACTTTGGATGGCCTTTATTTCATTGTAAAAGTAATAGCTTTGTATGTTTTTAATAATGAAATTCATTGAATTGTTGAGCTCTTTAACACATAGGATACCATTAAATGACATAGATTTTTTACAATAGTTTATGAACCTCAGCACGTAGGCTACAATTCGTTGTAATTTATATAGTTTGGATATGTTTGTAAAAATAGGTAATAAACTATTTTCAGTATATGTGAGATTAACATTTACATTGTTTTGATACATATTTAAAGGGATTTCTATGCAGCTTAGATAAAAATTATAATCACAATATTTATTTCTTAAATATTCTGGTCCATGCCACCAATCTATATTATTAAGTTTAGTAGGATCACAACCTCTACTTAAAATATCACTAGGATTAAGATTCGTAGGAGTATAATGCCATAACATACCATCTGAAAGTTTCGTTATCTCTTTAATTCTGTTTGCTACATATGCAGGTAAAGTACTAACATTTGTATTTATCCAACTTAATACAATCTGAGAGTCGCAAAATAAGTGAATGTCGCGTATATTAGAAAATAAAGAACATATTCTACTCATAAGTTTGCATAAAAGTACAGCTCCATTTAATTCTCGTTTTGGCACTGTGAGATTCGATTTAATAGGTGAGATACGTGACTTTGAACAGAGTAAATATACTTCATCATCATTCTTAACATATATACAAGCTCCAAAAGCATCTAATGACGCATCACAATAACCGATAAGCTGCACATTTTTTGAACAAGTAATGTCTACATATCTCTGTATATTAATAGTAGACATATTAATTATACTATCACGAAAACCAAGCCATGTTTTACACAAATCTGAAGGCAAAGCTATGTCCCAATCAAGATTGCTGCGCCATATTCGTTGTAAAATTAATTTAGCTCGTACTGTAATAGGACCAGCAAAGCCCATTGGATCGTAAAATTTACTAATATCACTTAAGACATTACGTTTCGTTAAACATCTGTCATTTTTTTCCAGACTACTATTTATTTTAAAAATGTCATTTTTTGCATCATAAAGTAAACCTAAAGTTTTAATAATTAATTTATCCTGATCTAAAACACGTTCATCAAAAGCGTATTTATTCTTAGGAATATCACTAAGCAAACTAATGTCATTAGTGCACCATTTATGTAATTCGAAACTTCCTAGGCTAAGCAACTCATTAAGTTCACGAATTAGTGTAGTAGTCTCTATATAAGTATTTTGTCCCGTTATTATGTCATCAACATATGATGATCGTAAGACGGCTTTACTTGCCAATGTATATTCATCTTTATGTCTATTAGCAAGCTCAACTAAACATCTAGTAGCCAAGTACGCCGAACTAGTGAGACCATAAGTAACTGTCTGAAGTTGAATGCATTGCAAAGGTTCAGTAGTAGTATTACGCCAAAGAATATTTTGCAATGGTCTATGTTCTGGATGTATGTTAATTTGTCGATACATATGTCTAATGTCGCACATAACAACATATTTATATGACGGCGCCGGCGCATCTACTCCCTCTACGGCTAGCTGTCAATGTCAAGTGACAACCGAACGAGAGTGACAGATCGTGGTTGCTCTAGCGGAACGTACATAGTGTAGAGCGGCATCCGTCGATAGAATAGAAGACGCGCGATAACAAGACGGCGGGTGCAGCGATAGACTTACGTTACGAATCGCTAACGTTCGGATAGCCAGAAGTGTGTGATTTAGCTCTGTCATTAAACTGTATTATTAAATTGTTACTCTGGACATGGACCTGTGTTGTTAACTGGACAATTGTGATTGAAGTGAATATACAATAGTGTGATTGAAAAATTAACAGTTATTTAATTACGCACGACCCGACCCACTTCCGCCCACAAGATGAATCCTTCTGATAAAGGCCCCTCCGATCCTTTATATATGTACGAAACAATATAATAATATTAAACAGTTGCTCTTGAACAACAGGACCGTTACATTGGACGTCATTAAGACTGTGAGAAGAACCCTTTTTCGTTTCCTATATTTAATGCTAGAAAATATTAGGGATCCTTACTAAAACATTTTTTTACACCTTGAGGTATGTTACATACCTCAAGGTGTAAAAAAATGTTAGAAAATATCTTTCGTCGCGTGCGATGCGGAAACTATTGGTGACAGAACAAAAGTATGTTCTACAATATTAAAGAACATATCAATAACTACAAAAAACTTCACGAATGTCCAACTATTATTGCCACAATAAACACTTTTTACATTTGAAAAGTTGATAGAAATACCGACCAAAATTACACTATGTCATTCATACTTCTGTTTAAATCCTTATCTAAATAAATCATATTGTTTTCAAAACTGTTGCATTTATGTATATTACTTTTTGAATTGTTCAAATCGACTACTCCATTCAATAGATATTACGGATATAATAAGTTATAGAAATATAAAAAATAAATGTTATTAATACCTATTTATTAATCCTTATCCAATTAAATTATTTTGTATTCAGAATTGTTTCAATACCTACAGATTACTTTTTGAATTTTTCATATCGTATGTGTATATATATTCCATTCATTGGATCAAACAATTTTCAGTGTCAGAAATGCTCATGACGAAGTTGAAAATTATTTAACACGGCTGTACATCTGAACAGCGTGGAGCGTTGTTAGAGCTTCCTATACATGACAGATACCCTAAAGTACACTGAGTAGATTTCTCAGCGGAAAACATGCAAAACAGTAGAAAATCCACTAAAAACGACACTCACGGTATTTTTTGACCTATGCAGTAGTGATGGATTTGCTACAACACTACTCAATGCTAACAATACATTTTGTAGAAGAAAACGTGGGCAACATGTAGAGTATTCGTCCTTCCCAGTCGGAATATTTATATCACAGGATACAGCTTCATTGTGTAGGTACGTGGCCCAACATCCTTTCAGATTTTAAAAACAGTTGATGGAATTGTTAAAGAAACTTACAAAGCCGCTTGCCAAGATAGAGATTTGCTAGAAGATCAGATAAAAATGTAAAAATATCCACCCGTACGAAGCCAGGACGGGCCGCTAGTTACTAATAGTATTTGACAATGTACAATTTTAAAATTGATTATGAACTTGTCATGTTATGTTGGCAACACTGGAGCAAACTATACCGAATATTATACTGACTGTATATCTAATCTAATCTCTAGAGCGCCTATATTGTTTTTGTATATTATTAGTATATTATTATTAGTCTTTAATTACTTTTACTACATTAATATAATTGTAATAATCAGTCTGTTTTATCGATGTGTTCATTAGGTTTTGCTTGAGTGTAGTGCAGTGAACAATTTATAAAAGGAAGGAATTCTTTACAAGTTCAGATCATAATAGCAGAAGGTAGGTAATATTTTTGTAATGATTGAAATTTGTTTCGAGTTGCGCTAACATCAAATTTACCAGAAATTGACCACTATGCATTATTGGAGGAACCATAGATTTCGAGCACTCATAGTACAAAGGATGCAGCATGCGGATGTAGTTATCACTGGGAACAAGCAATGCCCTTTGCCGGTTCCAGGTTATGAAATAATTTGTATATTAGAATAAGTTCAGACAACTGCTAAACGAATATTTTTCAACATTAATACCTGTTCAGTAAATTGCCCCTAGCCTTCTCGTTTTCGCGGGTTCTTTTCCCGCACAAAATAAATATATGCAAGTATATTAAAAAAACATTTTAAGAAGCTCTACTTAGGTCCAAAATGTGCTTACAGCTTGTGTTATGTGTTCTAGATAAGTGATATAAATACATAGATAACTTTTTTTTGTAAATACATACATAATATACATATAGAACACCTATATAAAAATATTGTCATGGCAAATACCACATGAAACATATTCTATCGACTTTGTACAAAGTACACCAATATTTGTTGAATGTTTGCTATTTAAAATTAGTTTAAAAGCAAGTATCTTTTCAGTAGAGAATGAATAATAACGGTGATCGAAACCGTAATCGTGAACGTGAGGATGATGGGTTATGGTGGAAGATACCCCTTGGTATAGGAGCCGCTGCAGCTGTTATAGGTGGTATAGTGGCCGCCGTTGTTTCGAGTAGTAATGATTCTGCACCCGACACTGGACAATCTATGCAATATCGAAGGAGGTCAAGACGACCGAGCACACCAGACTCAAGTCCCGACAGAAGTTCCAATATTTCTTATAATTTCGGAGCTCTAGAGATCTCTGATGAGCGCATGTAAGTATATAATATTAACTGTTATCCGCCTCTTCGCTATGCTTTTTTTGAGATAGTAGATAGTCGAGGGCAGTTAGTCCACCCTCCTGCTGTTCTGTTATAATCTTTATCAGTAAAATAATACAATATGAGATCAACGACGACGACAATAGACAATTTGGAAAAGAGTTAGTGATTACACTAATAAAAGCTTACGTAACAATAACAAACTGATTTTACCTAAATGTCGTTTAACTAAAGTTAGTAATTTGTTTTCTTGCGTAAGGTTTTACAACAAAATACCAGTCTCTGAAAATCTGCCTGAAAAAAGATTTAAATGTCATATAAAAAACTTCATTTGTAAGAAAGCTTACCATAAAATTGAAGAGTTCGTTAACGATAATAATGTTTTCATAGAAAAAATTAAATTCAAAAGAGCAACACACAAGTTTCGTGCTCATTCTTCTAGTGATGAATCTGCATTCCGAATGAGTGGTAGAATCAAAATACATATTACTATTTAAAAGTGCTTGTAATGAGTTTATTTAAATAAAGATTATTTCTATTCCTATTAATTTGTATGTAGTGGTAGTTACATACATACATAATATAAAACGAAGTTGTTTCCGCTGTCTGTTCGCTCAGATATTTTAAACTACGCAACGGATTTTAATGCAGTTTTTAGCAATAGATAGAGTGATTCAAGATGAAGGTTTATAAATGTAGATGTACACCCGTGTGAAGCCAATATTAAAAAGAGTCCATATTTCCCTCAGCTACGGAAACACGCGTTTTCGCTGGTCACATATCGCACAATGGGTGGCCGGTTTTAGCAAATTCTTTTTTGTTGTTTGTTATATGGTCGTTAATCGTCGTTTTCTTTAATGTTTGCCTACTATGTACGATATGCAGAGTAAATATTCATAGTTATGTAATTTAATAAGATCTCAGTAATCTTATAACTAAATAACGTTACAGTATTCCACAAGGCATAAGGAGTGGACCAGTAATTAATAATTTGGACTCATTATTGGCTGACATCTATATGAGATTCATATCGTTAAAGGATGACGCCTTGTACTATAGAGTCTTTCATTCTATAAGTTCTACTATTCGTAGAAATATGGAGGAAGTTGATCCCTATTTCAAGCGGTACTCAAGTACTGTAAGTATTTCATGTCATAATTTTATTGATATCATTGTATTATTATAAGTAAGTTATATTAATATACTGATTATTCAGATATCAGAAGTGAAGTACAACAATAGATTAGTAAAAATCGCACCAAAATTGGTTTATCCGTTGTTGAGCTAGTAAACACAGACTCACAGAATGTTAAACTCTATTTTCCATATTCAGTTTCACATTTGGGTTGGTTGGTTGTACATACAGACAAAAGGATTTAAATCCTAACAATCATAGTTTTTCTCATATATATATATATATATATATATATATATATATCATGTACAAACAGCGAATACATTTTTACATAATAAAACAAACAAATATAAATAGGTTGAGGACTAATGGACAACAAATCTTTGTTGTGCATTTATGTTTTCTATTTTATATAGAACAATATTTTACATAATTCTATCATAGTTTTTTATCTTTTCCGTAACTATTTTTCCTCACTACCGCAATTTCTATTCCATCCAATAAATCCTAGTTCTTTCAAAAATATCCTTTAGTATTTACCAGCTTAACAGTACACAAAGTATTCAATTTTAAACTGAGTGAAGCGTTATTGTAAAATTATAATTTTAGCTTATTAGCAGTAATAATTTTAGCTAGTATTGTATATATATGAAAATGAGTAAAGATAAAAAGATAATAGGTCGGGGAATATAACGAATGTCATACAGTTTAAAGTTTCTTCGTCCAGAGTAAATTCCCATAAAGAGTGGTCTCAAATTATGAATCTGTATCATTTGACAGGTATACATGTAACGTAACAGGTTGTGCCTTTTTGATGTAATTCAAATGGCAAACAAGCTATCGGCCAACCTGTGGTAAGTGGTAAACGTCACCCACATAAACAGAAACACCCACAGAAACTACGTGCATCAGGTTATCAGGTGACACCCGTAATACTAATCACGCGTTCTGTTCCCGACGACTAAGATGTCATGCCTATTATTCTCTAATTTCACTGCATTATTCAGCTAACAAGCAACATGTCGGCTGGACTAGTTAGACAGAGGTATCTATGCAGACCTCGGTGCAAACCATGAGTAGGTTTTCCCAACCAACCCATTCTTTTACTAACAAATCAATTTAAATATTTAACACAAGATCATTTTGTTTTGAACTATTAATATTTATCACACATCCTTCTATATACTCCTTTCGAATATAGGCCCAGATTGCGGGAAGTCATTATGATAATTTACGCATCAGGCTACCTGATCCAGAAGATGAATTTGATATGGATATCGTTATTGATCTCCCGCTTAATATGAGAAAAGATCGCTTAAACCCTAGCAATAGTGATATTGTACTGGAGCCATCGAGTAATGGCTATATTCAACTAAAAATGGGTACTCAATATCAGAATTTACCTAATAGAGACGAGTGGCACGTTAACAAAACAGCTTATGGATGGAGAGACGATGAGTTTTTTTTAAGTCGAGCGAAATTTAGTGACTGGTTCAAAAGTATTACATACAAGGCTTTAAATAAATTGGAAAAATATTATAACTACAGAAGTATTGAGGTAGCGGGAACTAAATACATTATCCGTACCTCTGAGTCAGGACCTGCTATAACTTTGAAAATAAGTGACCCTGTCACTGATTTCAAAATGTCCATTGATATAGTACCTGCATTACGATTTCCTGAGGAGCGTTGGCCAGTTCGTAGTGATTACCGTGACATACCACCGGGGTGTTCGGTTGGGGACTATGGATGGATGGTCGTGCCCAAGCCGGCCAGCAGTGGCGAAAGCTCCCGCTCTTGGCGTTTAGCCCTTCACAACCAGGAGAGGAAACTCTTTTACGGCACTTACAATTTGCGGCAGACTGTGCGTTATGTAAGTTTTTTTATGTAGGTATAATGTAATGACTTTGCTTAACAATAAGAGTCTGTTATAGAACTTCACGATAAATATATTTTGATTGATTTAATTGACTTAAGTCAAAGCTTTTTATACATTTTAGTATTTGCTATGTAAGTTTATGAGAATATTATCGTTTACATTGGGCGTCGTAATGTATTTACTGATGTTCGCGGTGCTGTCCATGTCAAAATCTTTCAAGTGGGCTGCAGGGCTTACAGCTCATGTGCCATTCACACTCTAATAAAATATTAAGTAAATCACAATATAATTTAATCGGATAGTGAAATATTTAATCGATTTCATAGAATAGGTATGCCAGTCAGTCGAGTCATCGCTCAAGTAAGGAATATAAAAATCATTATAATTATACTTCTGCTTATGCAACTTTTTGATTTGACGAAATGAAACAATTTCTTCGTTTTTGACATGACACAGAACGTGTTAAATCGCAATATTTCTTTTGAATTTGACAACATATTGTATATATAATATGTTTTCAAATGTTCAATTCACAATATGTTGCTGCTAGTATCTTCGGAACGTTGCCTAAAGGGACCCCTTTTAATAATATATTTTAGTCAATATATTTTAACCATTTTAATTTTAGGTTCTTAGATATAAATTATTCTTAATTGCATACTTTATAAATTGTAGAATATGATATATATACATAAATATGTTTTTAACGTTATGTTATTAAACATTAGAGAAAACTCAGTACTTGAAATAAAAAAATAAAATAGAATACAAGTAGAATACTACATTATATTATTCAATTAAATACACTACAATTGTATAAAATTAATTGTTTGTTGACAGTTAAAAAAATTACGGGATGCTGAAGGAATGAATGAAATAGCGAGTTATTATATAAAGACATTATTCTTCTGGGAGGTTATACAGCAGAAATCGGATGAAAGATTTTGGAATCAGCCTTTGTCTAAACTATTCATAATAATGGTGAAGAAGTTCCAGCAAGCATTGGCAAACAGAAATATTCCATATTTCTGGAACAAGAACCATAATCTTATCGACGGCGTTGCACCTAACGTGGTGGCAGGTTACGCTAACAAGCTGAAGAAACTTGTCGTCATACTGGACGATCCCACTAGGTACAAAGAGGTCGCCAAATATCTATTGACTATTGACGAATATAACTCCTACGATATATAATATAATAATATCTACTGTAATAGCTAAATAAAGTAACTCTTTAATACAAGGAGGAGTCTCATTTAGTATGTTTCCTACTTAAATTTTCAAAAAAGATAGAATACCAGCGCATCTAAAGCCATATTTCGCACGAGTGCGATTATATTAAAAATACTAAAGTGCCCATTTTTATGCTTCACCTATACGGAGCTACATTTTCTGTAAATAATTAAGTATTTTGAATGTGAGTGAGAGAGAGAAACGTGTGAGTATTGTGTGTGCATCGCCTATACGCAAAACAGGCAGCACTTCAGTGTAGTGTTTGTTACAGGCAGCATTTTCACATGCGATGACATAAAAATGGGCATGTACAAAGTAAAAGTGCAATCATTTAGCTCGATGCGATATTTTGCGATGAGAGCTCATTGGATGTAGTACATACAACTCTTTCCTGAAATTACGCGGAAGCATGCACGGTTAAAGTAAATTAATTCTAGTGTTAATGATAAATCCTTGTCCCAAAAAACAGATAGATAGGCCTTACTTTTGTTTCAAAACTATGGTCTGTTCTATAGTTACTCAATATAATTGCTAGTGACAAATACTTCAACCAACTTCTTTAGGGTCCCGGCATGCAGATAATATAATGAGATAATAAAACGGTAAGACATGAGATGGCATATCTTTCTTATATGTACACACTACAGATGACGGGCATAATGCTAAATTATAATTCAAATTCAAAATATCATTATTCATGTCGGTCTATTACAGACTCTTATGATATGACAAAACTATCATCGTTCATAATGATTTCGAGTTAAGAAGAAAATATTGTAAATGTTTACAATAATACAGATCCATTTTTAAATTCAAATTGGGAGAATAGAGTGACCATCAGCATATGCTATTCCAAAAGCAAATAGTCTAATCAGTGTACGTAACCATTGATAATGTATTTGTAAATTATGTAAAATAATATACAAAAACTTTTAAAAATGTTTGTAATGTACGAAAATATAGTTACCTAAATAAAAAAATTAAGGAATCCAAAGATAAGCTAAAAGCAGTGTGGAATTTTATAAACAAAGAAACTGGTAACAATAAAACCGCCTGTAATGATTTTACTTTAAATTTTAATAATAAATTGGTAACGTCTACGAAAGACATTCTGAAATATATTTCACAATTTCTTTGCCAACATTCCAAATTAAAACTATTAAATTTAAAAAATAGGAAGATCACTGGGGTGTGTCTGTTAAAGTTATTAATACTTGTGTATACATTCTTGCTCCATACTTAGTAACTATTTTTATAAATGTATTCTGACGAAGTTTTTCCAAATTTTATGAAACAGTAAAATAACGCCACTTTTTAAGTCAGGGGATAAAACTAAAATAGGCCCATATCTCTATCCTACCAGTACTAAGTAAAGTGTTTGAAAAAATTGTGCTCAATCAAATGCTTCAACACTTTAAAAGAAATAGACTGCTTCACAGTCCACAAGTCAGACAAATATTTTAGTGAATGTTTGTAAATAACCATGTATGGAGGGAAAAGGGGTTGTTAGTACTGTGGATTGATAATCTTATTGCTAGGAATGTACCATGTCAGGTTGACCGCCACGTGGTTCCCCCTGGAAAATTTCGTGATAAATCTTGTTGAATTTGTCACGATTGGCTAACTGACCTGACCTCATGCTCATCTTATCATCTTCCACTGGTGCTCCGCCAGCGCAATTCATTAGTGCAGGCTGGTGCACCATTCCATGATCATCCATAAAAAAATATCCATGTACATGGTTATGTAGTTGTGTATATGTGTGAACAACAATTCATATATTCGTAAAATGTAAATAAAATAATAGGTAATAAATAAATTACTTATTAAATGTGCCAGTTTCTACTGGCTCTTTTACAACATTATATGTTATGCTTGAATGTTTTCAAAGGTATTAAATAAGTCAAAATCAGTTCTCCATGGTTATAATAGTGATATGCATGTATGTAGCATAAAATTAAATATAATTAATATTTGGACAGTGGAACAAATATTTCACCTGTACACTCACTCACTACCAAGATACTGCAGGGAAGAACTAAGTAAGTAACTACCCTTAATAAAAAAAAATAAGGGAAAATGAAATAAGGGATGAAAGTTTGTATGGAAATTCGACAGTTTTGAAGCTAACATTTTTCTTTGTATTTTTGAGTTACATTCTTTTTTTTTCATTTGGTTAGTGTCATTATTCCACCCGGACGAAGTAGCGGACACAGCTAGTCTATACATATAAATAAAATTGTAGTGTCTGTTTGTAATATTGAAATAACCGTTTTTTACTACATGCATATGAATATAAATACGGTATATACACCAAAATGTCATATTTTTACAATTTTTGTCTGTCTGTCTGTTTGTTCCGGCTAATCTCTGAAATGATTAGACCGATTTTGACTTGACTTTGTACTTTTATGGGCAGATAGCTGATGTAATAAGGTGTAATAATAATAGGTGTAACTTATGCTATTTTTATTTTAGAAAATGAATGTTAAAAATTCCACGCGGGTGCAGCTAGTAAATAAATTTAAAAAAAGTACGAGAATCTCCAAAAATCTCGTATTTGTATGTATACACGTACGGTTGGCATTACTGAGTCTACTCTCATATAACGTAGGTACAATAGTGTCAATTGCTCAGTGGACCCGTCGAACTGGACGCATTTTAAAACAACAACAAAATCGGACTGTGTGACACTTCTAACTAATTGTCACTCATTGACCTGTAAATAATGTAAAGAAAAGCATTTGTATTATTTAATACCAATTCCCTATTGATAATGAATTTAATAACAAACAGTTTGATCAGTACTAATTTATATCATCATTAATACAGATACATCGGGAATATACGTAAAGGTAAAAATATATAATATTATAACAACCTAAGATTCACTACTTAATGGACTTATATTATTTTCTTTAATTCCGCTAAAATTAGCATGTGTGATACCACAAATATTCGGTGTGGAAGCTTGACTACCGTTACGACCTTCTCTAACGGTGACCAAACCGCAACAAATGGGGGAAAAGACATCACCAGGCTTCCAAGCTATATCCGAACTCTATTTAACGAAAAAAAATAGGCCAATAGGTTGTCGCCACAAAAGAAGCGGCAGATAATACTATATTATTAAAAAAAAACTCTATTTAACGCCTGATGATGCCTCGTTCAGAGGCGAAACTTGTCTCAATGTGGGTGTAGACTGAATAATGGTCGGTGAATTTGATCGCAGTACAGCCTGTCTATTTGAAAGTTTGTATGGAAAAATATAATTGTATTTTACTATTATCCGTGCAGTTTTTTTCATATTTTCTCATTGTTAATACCTTTCCTGGACTTTCAAGGCTAAAATTAGTCTAAACAGTTCTGCCGTTCTCGAGTTTTAGCAAGACTAACGAACAGCAATTCGTTACATTCACATATTCATTCCTCACCATCCTAAGGGTTGCCTGGAATAAATCGCTATTTATCGATAAGGCCGCCCAATGTAATCTCTATATTGTATTTTTTTATATTTAATACTAGCTGTACTCGTGGTTTAGTCCGCGTGGAATTTAACTTTATTTTTCTAAAATTAAAGTATCCTAAGTTACTCCTTATTACATCAGCTACCTGCCAATAAAAGTCCCGTCTAAATCGGTCCACCCATTTCAGAGATTAGCTGGAACAAACAGACAGACAGACATAAATTGTAAAAAATGTTATTTTGGTGTATGTACCGTATTTATATTCGTATGCATGTAGTAAAATACCGTTGTACATATTATGTAATTGTAATTTTTTTTCTGTGAGAGGAACAATAAAGAGCTTTCATTAATTACATTTCATTCAATCGTTTTCTGTCGTTTATTCATTTTCAATCATTCATTGGTTTATTTTCATTCATTCATCACTATTTCACTAACAAGTAACCTCTCTCTACTTCCATAGTTTATTGGTCAATGTGTACAATGAGTAACCGTGGCGATAGCAACAACTGGGTGCCGATTGCAGCCGGCGTCGTTGCCGGCGTGGGTGTTCTCACTCTGCTTTACAAGATGTTTTTTACGAGCTCTCGACCTAACATATACAACCAGCAAATAAATGCACCATATGTATGTACATGTCGAAAAGGTGGCAACAGTCCGGTGAGTTACTTACTATGGTTATTTTATGTAATTGGAAAGTATGGAAACAAGCTGACGGCCTGATGGTAAATGGTAACCGTCGTCTATATACAAGAATAGCAACATGTACATCACGTCAACATGACGCCAGTAGTACTGAGTCGCCATTCTGGGCCATTCAAATGTATGATATCATATTTCATTAACATAATTCCACTATAAATTTGAAAAACATCATACAAGCTGCTTGGCGGCTGAATAGGAGAAATTGGTGTATGGTATATGGTATGATATAAGGTGGATCAAATGGTAATTGACAACATTGCGATATTTTATTTATTTAATGCACAAATACAATATAAGGTGCATAAAGCGGACTTAACACCTTAAGGCAGTTTCTCCTTCAACAATACCATATAGTTGAAGGAGAAACAGAGATTAGTGTTTTTAAGTAAATAACATGAAATAAATAATACTAAAATGAAATAGGGATAAATATAAAATATAATAAAAATGTGTTTCTAATATTTATAAAACTTTTAGTGTCAATTGCATAAGAAAATTTAATTTGAAAAAAATATTTGAAAAATTACAATAAAAGAGATTCCTAGACGCCATTTCAAAGGAAAAAAGAAAACAAAAGTGATTGTTTGGTGTTCAACTAGCAAATAATTAGTTGTCAAATTCTTGGCGAGATGTTGACAATCATTTTAGAAGTATAGACTAATCACTAGTCTAGCTACCACAGTGTAATTAAAAAATAAGATCAGGACATACATGAAAATGAAAAAATAAATTGTAACAACTTCACTATAAGTAACTTTATGAACATGTGCGATTGGTAAGCTATTTTAACTAATGCTAAATACTATAAAGAGAATTATAGAGATT